TTATTGTTAAAGTTCTGTATTTTCTCACAGTTTCTCATCATGAACATTAGTTTCTCTGATTTAAAGAGAGAATTCATCACATCTGATTTTTTTACAGTTTGAAATAAATTGACTTTTTGGATGAGGAGTTTTTGAAATGTACCAAAATTCTGCGTTAACTTGTTTTTTAAAATTTTGATCTTTCGGGGAATTCGACTCAAACTGTTAACGTGAGTTATTATTATTTTCTTTCCACACGGGCAGAAAGTTTGAAACCTCTGGTTGGAGCCTGGGTGGCTCCCGTCCCCACACATCTGTACGGACTGTGATCTGTTCGGACTGTGATCTGTTCGGACTGTGATCTGTACGGACTGTGATCTGTTCGGACTGTGATCTGTTCGGACTGTGATCTGTACGACAGCTCAGTTAACGCTCACAGTTGGTTTGACACCAGGCCTGTCAACAGTAAACACCCCCCCCCCTGTATCTGTTCTAGTGGTTTTCTGTTTCAATGTTTTTACGCTACACTACAATACAGTGTTTCCCTTGTTGATATACCCCCCCACCTGACAATAATGTATCAAATCTTTAAATATTATCATGCTAAGAGTATACTTTATGCAAATATATATGAGTATGATGAGTGTATTGTATGTATCAGCAGTGAAATATTTTTAAAATAAAACCGTTTCTGTCATTGTGGACTTCAGTGTTTGTCCTTCGTGCGTCCGCCGCTCGTCTCTGTGGCTCCAGCCAATCACAGCAGCCCGCTGGTGTTTCTATATGAGACGCTGCCACCGAGGGAAACATCTGCACCGCTGCTCGTCCACGATCCCGAACAGAGGCTGGTTAATATATTTCAAACTTCAGCCACGTGTTAGAAACAACTAAATTAATGGACAAGTACTAAAAAAGTTTTTTCTTTCAAACATGTTTATCAGCTCCAAACAAGAGAATAACAGATATTATAACAAAGTCAAAGTTTCTGTTTCTTGTTCAGTTGTTAGGAAACATTTGAATGTCGTGTTTCTGATTCTATAAAAGGTTGAGAATATTTTTAAAGATATTTTATGACGTTTAAACATCAAACCAACCTTCATGAAAACTAGACCGTCTCCGTAGAGCTCGTACCTCCAACAGTCGGCTTCAGTTCAATCAAGCTTCACTAAATTCCTCGAATGTCCCTGATTCTTTTCATCAAGACCTCGATGAGTGTTTTGTTTTTGAGGCCACAGGCGCCAAAAATCTGTAAATGTCTGAAAGGAAGAAAAACAATAAAAGCCACTAATAAACAAAAATCTATCACCACAGTGTTCCGTGTTCCATATCACAAATAAAACCCAGAATAAAATCTTGAAACAAAAAAAGAAAACTCCTTCTGCTTCGTGAGGACGTTACTAATTAGAGGAGCACAGACTCAACAGTCTCCTTATACAACTTATTTATTTACATTTGGATCATTGCACCAAATTAAACAAACTCGTAAATATCAGATTTTATTCAAGATCCATAAATATTCTGAGAAATCAACGAAAATATTGAATAAAAAACTGAGAAAGAAAAATCCTGGATCTGCAGCAAACGTTAGAGACGCAGCTCAGGCGTAAAATAAGGAAGTGATCAGATGAGAGTTGTTGTGAATTCTCTTTATTAGAAAAACGTGTTTTCTGACATCCTGTGAGCTCACAGCAGAGCTGATGAACCTGTGCAGAGTTTACAGAGCAAAATTAAAAACAACAGTAATATTAAATAAGTGGAAAAAAAAAGGAGTACAACAAAAACTAGGAACCAAATTTAAGAGACAGAGACAAACAACAGACGGAGCGAAACATAAAAAAAATCCTCATCCATTAAAAAAAACTCTTTATAAAGAAATCTCACAGCTGTCGCACACACAAACACACAAACACACACACAAACACACACACACACACACTAAATACAGTACTCTGTCTTTGAACGTGAACTGAATGAGACTCTCCTCCGCTCAGAGAAATCGAACTGAATGACGAGAGCAGGCTGCTGATGTGCTTTTATCCGTCCTCGTTCATTCGGACGCTGTGTGTGAGAAAAGGCTGCGACAGAAGGCAAAGTGGTGTTTCGCCACCGGGGAGGAGAGATGAGCGTAAACGTGATGGGGGGGTGGGGGGGGGGKGGGGGATGGGGTGGTGAAGGAACAACGTTTGTGTTCACGCTGAAAACAACAAGCGATTCAAAGCCGAGAGACGAGGAGTTTGTCGTTTGTGTCGGTGTTTCCTGTTTCTCTCGCTGTGACTCTAAACTTTGTGAAACTGCGTAAACTAAAACACTCGTTGGAGACAGTGTGAACACGGGAGCGGAGGGTCGGGGGAGGTGTGCACCGGTCTCATGCAGAGGGCGACGGTGAGTCGGGGTCCGGCTCGTAGTGGTATGTGGCCTGAGTGTGGCTGTTGCCGTGCTGCTGGTTACCGTGGGCCAGGCTGAGCGCCGCCTGGCTCGGACTGTCCTGAGCCTGTTGGTTCAGGCCCTCGTGCGCCTGCACTAGCTGAGGGGTCGGGTTGTTCTCCGCCCACTGCCCGGGCGCCGGCTGGTGGGGGTCGTTGGCGGGCGGCAGAGTGTCCAGCTCGTCCACCTGCGGCCCCGGAGGGTGCAGCACCACCAGCTGGTCCTGGGGGATGTCTGCGGCGGCCGCGGCCAGGTTGGTGGTGGACTTGGACTTGACGCACTGGAAGTCCACGTGACGGCTCTTCCCCTCCTCCTTCTCCCAGGACATGCGGATGAAGGGACGCTGGACGTAGTTGTAGATGACCTCTGGACGACCTCCGGGACGCCGCTTCACCTTCTCTTTGTAGGTCGGATATCCTGGAGGAGACACGAGACACAGCAACGAGTCAGGAAACGTCGACGGCTTCTTGTCGGAGGTGACGAATAGTTCAACGTGTTTTTCTACAGTTAATGAATCAAACTGAGAGAAATCATAAAAATAAACTATTTGTTTAGAACCTTTGATAAAAAGTTTTCACAACAACAATGAAAAAATATTCTTTAAATGAGTTTTTTAAGTTTTTAATTAAATCTGGAATCCGAGCAGTAGTTTAATACTTCATAAATACTGTATAATGTATAATACAAATACAATCGTATGTACGAGTGCAGAACAATTCTAAACGTTTGTCTCCACCTTCGATCCCCAGACGGATCTTCTTCAGTCCTCGGTCTTTCAGAACTGATTTGGCCACGTCTCTGTTCTCGATGTATTTGAAGAAGCGGTAGAGTTTGGTGCTGTAGATGACTGAGGAGAGAGAGAGACGTTCAAAACGTGAACACGGCAGCTCAGCGTTCAAAGATGAATCTGTAGATTTGAAATAAAGACGGTCGACGTGACAGTTTGTAAAATAAACGATTGTTTTCGAGGATCAATAAAAAGTTACTGGTCTTTATTAATGATGTCATCAAAGTGCTTCCAGACTTTCTTTTCTTTAACAGCCTGAAGATGAAACGTGGTCGACATGTTATGAAAGGAAGCATCTTAACCTGCTTCCTGTAACTGGAGCGTGACCTGCATCAGATTATTCAGAGTTATGAGGTCGACCCGCTGCGACCAAACCGGGTCACCCACTTGTTAAACTGTTAAATTAACTGTGACTCAGCATCAGTGACGGCGTCTTACTCTGCGAGTACTCCTCCCCCATCTGAGGAGGGTACTCCTCGTCCCAGTCCACCACGTCGTCGTCTGTCAGCACCACCACGTGACACTCCCTCTCTCCGCTCTGAGCGCTCGCCACCATCAGCGGCAGCACCATCTCCTCCAGGTAGCACTCGAACTGATGACGCGCCCCGTCGTTGGACAGCTCGTGCATCAGGGCGCCTGAGGAGAAACGAGGAGGAGATGAGGAGATGAAGCGAGGAGACGAGGAAAGGAAACGAGGCAGCCCCTGTTTCGTTCTCATGACTGAACACGTCACAAAACACGTCATCATACGTGAAAAGTGATAAATTACATTTTACTGTTTGAGACAAAACCTTAATCTCAATGTTAACGTTAAAATAATTTATAGGAACAAAAAGAAAGAAGAGACTCAGAACTTCACGGCTGAATAAACTTAACGTGTGCAGAATGTTTCTATGTGAATTCGGAGTCAGAACAAAGACGATCGAGACGTTAGAGCGAAAACTTTCTGATGCGATATCTGTTGTTGTGTAAGATGTCGTTATCAAACGCTCTGAAAAAAGAAATATAATTGAGTCTTGATATTTTACAGCTAAAACAAACTTTATTATAAATAAGAACATTCGATGCTTTTTCTTTCTTTCTTTTCTTAATTCTAAAAAAATAATAATTTTATGCCAAAAATTCAGATGATTCCATTCTGGACTTTTGAAGAACCGGTGGAGAAGCTTATCTTCTTTTCTTATCCAGAATAAAATACTGACTCCGTCTATCTGCTAGCTTAGAGCGACGAGACAATCAAATGTAATGGTTTGTTTTCCGTATTCATTGTTGGAGCTTTAAGGACGAGATGTTCTGGAGTCGGAGCGTCTCTCTTTATGTTTGTTGACACACAGACTGAGACTTCAGGGAGACGCTCCTGTAAACAGTCATTCAACCACTAGAACACGATGTAATGTCTGGTTGTGAACTGGAAACTTTAATTCTAAGTTCTGCTTCTACTGAAGATGATCAACAAGCAGCACTGCGCCACTCGTGACCTGAATATTACGTCTGCAGAGCTGCTTCGACAAACAGGAACATTTCTAAACTACAAGTTCAAAGTGTTAACGTGGATTTATTTCTATTCAAATTAGAAAACAAAGAAGAAGAAACTCAAGAGTGAAATCCACATTCTGCTCACGTCAGAAGTGTCTGAGACACAAGCTCAACGTTTCACTGCTGATCATGACCTACTTACTCACACACACCTCCAGCAGCAGCAGCCTGTGAGCTGAAGCTCTTCTTCCCACGCACAGACACACAATAACAACACCAACCGGTTTGCACAGCTATTCTTAACCAGGCCTAACCATAACCAACCCACAACTCACATCTGACACCTCAACCAGGAGCTTCTATCTCATTGGCTCAAACGTCCCCACGAGGTCGACTGGTCCTGAGAAGTGTGTGTGATCTTGTGAACACACACACACACGCACGCACACACTGATCGTCTTCTTCTATCCTCACTGAGCGTTTACGTTTAAACCATGAGATGTCAACAACATCATCTCAGCTGATGTCGGAGTTACAGAGAAGCTGCCGTGGCAACGCTCAAATATTCGGTGAACGAGATCTTCTCCTAACGTCGATTTAAAACAACGTGTGTCACTCACCAAACTAAGTGCACGAGCAGAACTACCTGAGTCTGCAGCTCGCTGAACGCTCGGCCGAACGAGCAGCTTCATACTCACTGAGGTCTCTGCACTTGATGGTGCTGTAGTTGAAGGAAATGCAGAGGTAGTCACATGCCTCCCGCAGCTCAGGAATGGAAACTCCATCAGGACAGCGGATTATCCCTGACTTGTAGTAATCCTGCCATTTTCAGCAGCAGCAGAGAGAGAGAGAGCAGAGACACACACACACACACACACA